TACGTGCAATTTTTGTTATGCATTTGTTAGCTTTACATACCTAAAATAGGAGATATGGATATCTGTCCCACCCACAAAGGCACTGACAATGTATATGGACCACAGTGTATCTCTAATAGTTCAGACAAGTGCAACTGAGTCTGACCCGTAACTCCAGAAGTTAAGCTTTCTTCTTTTGACAAAGGTATTTTTAATGACTGTGCCAGTGTTGAAGCTAAGACAGATATTTGGGCGCCTGTATCAAACAAAAAATCAACATCTGTGCCACACACGGTCAATGTTACAAACAAACGATTATCATACAGATTAACATTCGACCGAGCACCTAAATTGCATTGCACAGCGTCTATTAGTTTAAAGATCCTGCTGGAGGAGCTGTGGGCTGTATGGTATGCTGTTGTACATATTTTAGGATGGCACCTGCTTGTTCAGGAGAAAGAGCAACAGCCTTACCTTGGCCCTTGTTATAATTAGAAGATTTATGGTTCTGATCACGCTTTCTTTTACGGCAATCTTTCTGCCAGTGTCCTACTGCCCCACAATAATAACAATGGCCCCTACGTACATTGGATTGTGCTACAACATTTCCTTGTTTAGCACTGACCTGTTGCCCTGGTATAGTTTGAATAACATGCACTTTATGGGACTTAGATAGGTCACATTCTAAATCTGACGGTAAGGTCACAAGGTCCCTAAAATTCCTGACTTTCCAGTCTCTATATGCAATGGGCAGCTGTTGTTTGATTTTGTCACTCAAGCCATCAAACCAGCATTGATGTAATGGACTAGGACCTGTAATTCTGTCCAAAGTATCATCCCGATATTCTGTCAAACTAGAATGTGCCAGGAAACATTCACGAAATCGAGTAGTGTAAGCAGGTACAGATTCACCTTTTCCTTGTTTGCATTCAACTATGGTAGCCCAAGAGGTAACATCTGACCCATGCTCTTTAATAAAAGCCTCAATTATTTTCCTGTGCTCATCTATAATAGAGGTTTCATCTACAACTAGTTCGTGCAATTCTTGGACCTCCCTTTCTGCAATATGTTGGGATAAAATTAACACCTCATCCAATGGATGCAGATTATATAATCGTCTTTTGCGGCGCAACATACTGATGAAAGGAACAGTACCCATAACCCGAGGATGTTTAAAATCCTTGCTTAGTTTATCAAGCTGTTCTGGACTAAGGGGTATATGCTGGTCTTTTACACGTACTCCCCCTGTGGCTAAATGCGTAACTGTCCTTACCAGCGGAGCACACTGTAATTGAGATGGTTCATGATTATCGGAATCTGATCCCGACTCACTATCCTGACAATCAGTAGGCAGTTCTGCCCTCAAATCTGGATATAAGTTTGGACTACTGGTTGTTGGTGTTGGGTTACAGGGGACTACAGACTGATTTGACTTCACCTTTTCCTCCTGTAAATTATTTTGATGCTTTTGTTGCAGTTTTTTTTAAACACTGACTCCAATTTATTAATCCTAGTATTAAGGCGTGTTATTTCGTGCTCATAGCGTTTTCGCTCAGCCTCCACAAATTGCCTAGTGACATATGCAACATGTTTACCACTATCTTTCCGTATTGCATAACCTAGGGCTTTCTTACACTCATCTAGAGACCAAATTTTATCTGGATGAACAGGCAATTTCTTTTGATAACTAGATGAGTCTATATGTTTACATAACTGTTCATCCAATCTGACAATGAATACATCATCAGGCCAATCAGGTGCCACCCTACCACCCCTCTGTGTGGTAGCCTTCTCTCCTGCCATGGGCTTATGGGAACACTACCGCAGTCTTCCCCTCTGTTCCGTCAACAAGAGGAGGATATCCTACTGGTTTCAGGGTTTGCTTCGAAATGGGCACTCACCTACAGCATAGAGATGAGATGTCCAATCCGGGTCACGGCGCCACTTGATAGAATCCAGACCCTGGAGACTCGATCTGTTGTCTGGACAAGTGAAGTTTATTTGTTGCGCGCACAGGTTCCAGACACCCAGCCAGCCCCCCAAGACAATGGACTGACACAGTTTTATAGCTGGACTGATGTCAAGATGAGACCCAGTGTATACAGGACAAGTGACAGGTGTGACAACATGACCATATAAGGAGAAACACAAAAATAGGCAGCCTAAAATACAACTTCAGCACCTTCACACACCACACACACACACACACACACACACACACACACACACACAACACAGCACAGCACATTAACTTCCTTCAGTTCCCAAAAGCTTACAGAAAGTTGTTTAATGAAGCGGCGATGCAATACAGTGTTAAACATACCCCAACTTTTTTGGAACGTGTTGCTGAACATGTTGCATCAAATTCATGAGCATAAATATTTTACAAAAACTTAAATAAATTTCTTAGTTTTAATATTTCATATGTTGTCTTTGTTTTTCATTGACATTTATTGTTTAGATGATTTGCATATCATGCACTCTATTTCTATTTAAATTTTGCACAGCATCCCAACTTTTTTTGGAAACCCATGCCCCTTTGATGCAGGCTCAGGGTATGCCAGAATCCAGAACATCTTGTGTATGCCAACACACCAGCTTCTAAAACATTAACACCTCCCCATAAAAAAAAAATCCTTCTTGGAAAAATATAGAGTCAAAATATCTTTAACAGTGGACTTTTAGCTCTGAAGCTACATTTAGCAAGATCAGTGCAGGACAAAATAACTTCTAGATGTGATAGAACTACACTAATACTACTAACCTCAAAATCTGGTTGCAAGAAAAGTAAAAGTTTTTGAAATTTTACAGGATTTTTTGTTCTGGTTAAAAATATACATTTTTATAATTTGATTACTGTGAAACATATAACAGTTCAGTACAAATTTCATCCCAACTCAGTGAAAAATAAGCACTTGGTGAGGAGTTCATATATAAAGAATCGCAAAAATGATGAAACTTCGAAAATTAACTAAAAAATACTTGGAGTAGAGCTATAGGGTTTTGCAGTGTCCCATGAATTTAATAGTAGTTTTCATATGAGCTTTTGTAAGAAAATCAATGACACGAATTGGTAGGGCTAGATGAGTTGGTATGGAGTGACTCATAATGTTCTGTTTTTTTGTTGTTTTTTTTTTGTTCATTTTCTGCATGATCTTGTTATGCAGTATAAAACCACACTGGCACTGTGAAACATGCCTCAATCTCGCTATGAAAGGAAAACCACTCAACTCTGAATGGTTCATAATCACTAAACACAACTCAGTACACAGGACAGGTGTTGAGGATTAAAAGTCATGTTTGAATGAGGGTCTTTGTTACCCTGAAAAAGATGCTCAGCTGTAAAATGAGGATTTTTTTTTAAAGTAAGCAGAACACATTTATTAATAGTCCAGTTCCTTATTTTGGTAGAGAACAGTGCTTAGATGATCTAGACTGTGTGCCTGTACAGCAGGGGGCACTCTGGACTCTGACATGACGTCTTATGCAGAGCAGGCCAAGACTGACAGATATTTGCTGCTGTAGCCTTAATTACTGTTTGCAGGTCTCTCCCTCAGACCTTTCAAAATTACATTACATTACATTACATTACTGATTGCTGCTCTGTTCAATTTTTATGATTATCATGTTTTCTCCTTTGTGACCATTTCAATTCAGCATTTTAACTGACCAGGTGGGTCATAACAATTCCTTGCACATTTACTCTCCACTGTTCAAAGGATTAAAAGATTCATTGTTTTCATATCGGATTTGACATTCATTTTCAAATTGTAAAAAATTATTACATCCTACATTATCAAACAGTGGTTGTTTAAACAAGTGATAAAATATAACATGAACATCCAGAGTGTAGAAAAACTGGACACTCTGGTGTTCTAGGCCAAAACACAAAATAAACAGGCCTATTTCAATACAATTACCTTATTTACCCAAATCATTCAACCCTAAAATGACAAAAGTAATTAATTTACATCAAATAAAAGTAAATGTATTGATGAATATGAAATGAAACAATGACCAATGACTCAGAATATAAGCTTTAATCTGAGAGTATTTATATTGATATTGGATGAACAATGAAGGAATTATAGATGTGTTTATACATATGTTCTTTTGAAATGAGCAGAATAAGTGATTGGATGATGTAACACAATCTAAAATAAAATTGTTTACTACTTTTGCAGTGAATGACTGTCTGAAGAGACCCATAGACGTCACCAAACACTGAGCATCGTCCCTAATGAAACTCTGCCAGACCTGAAATGCAGCTGTTTTCACTCCCTGCTTCTTTTGGGTCCCCACGTAAGAATTTGTGTTTTGTTAAATACATCACAGGTGACAAAGTGAAATATTAGCAACAGTAATTCTTGTGTAGGTCGTGTAAGACAACTAAAAGTGTAAGGCAGATTTCTTCACAGCATGTTTTGTGTCATCCCAGCTTGAGGGCAAGTTGTTGACAGAGTGAATGCTTAAATGTCTATGCTAGCTGGGGGCTCATGAAATAATATAATTACCAAGAAGAACACAGGCTGTGTGCTGGACTTTGTAGCCACACTATATTTGCTCAAAACTGCCTTCAAATGGTCAGGAAGATGTAACAATACAAGCCTGTCATGACGGCCAAAGGAGGAAGGTATAAGCTGAAGAATATGAAGTAAACTAGATATGAACAGGAGATAACAGTAAAGAATCTGCATACAGTACCCAAAGAGTTGTGCCATCCAAACATGGGGATAAAACTCAGCAATGCAGCAGTGCAACCACGATTCAAGAGAACTTTTTTAGAACTGTGGACTTAAAAAATAGAAATAAATAGAATCAATTTCTTTGTTCTGATTCTTAAAGAGTTCAAAAGGATTTAAATGAGGGGCTAACAAATCAGTTTCACAACATAATTTCAAAGAAACACCACATTGCATGATAAAGAGATGTGAATGTGTAGCACAGCACAAAACTGAAATCTGAAGTTATTTATCTGCAGGATGGTTATAGCTCCTTCAGATATAAGGATAAAGGATAACTCATGTCAGAGGGATGCACACACAGAGAAAACGGTCCACTGCAATGGCCAGGAGTAAGACGACAGAAGCCACCTCTAGCATTATGATGACACAGCACATGAAACGGCAACCATGAAAGGTGTTGTTCATACGGATGTCCACCAGCACAGTTATGGGGATGACCACAGACCCCACCAGGAAATCAGTCACAACAAGGAACACAATGAGACAGAAGGTGGGCTGCCTGAGGGCTCCATATGTCCACACTGCCCAGATCACCAGCACCAGCACTGCTACCCACTGGAAGACAAGGAGTTCAACCAGTATAGATGATGATGATGATGATGATGATAGAGTGTAAGAAGCTGGCTATGACTAAACCTCCCTGTGAGCACCAATGAAAACTTGCATGTTGATGTGTTCTACATAGACTTGTTACACAATGCAAAACCACAGCAGCCTTGTGAAACATGCCCCACTCTATTAAAGGACACCCTCTACATAGCTGATATACACAAAAAAAAAAAAAATGTACTGCACAAGTATTATGCATGCTGTTTTATAAAAAAGTCTGCAGATAGAAATGGAAAACAGTGGCAGCTCTATGCCAGGATACGCTACTGAAAGCGTCACTGAGAAAATACTACATGATAAAATGTTAATGTCTGTTACATGTTCAAATAATACATGGAATGTATTCATAAGATGGAAATGTCCATATCTTTGATACAAACTGGCCTTAAAATGTTCATATGAATTGCTGTTAAATTAGCATTAATATACTACTAGATTCCTGTAGGGTTGGCAAAAAACAGTATTGCTTTGTATGTGTATTTTCTTTCCATGTTTTTGATCAGGTTTTGACACCTATTTAAATTAGAACCACCAACCTTAATGAGATACATCAATAAAACCTAGTTTCCAACCTCATATGTGAGACTTCACGTTTGTTTTGCTACAGTCATGCAGTCATTACCGCAGTGTCTACCCGCCAAGTAGCGTATTTGCAATACTACAGACTAATAAGCTGTTTCAAGTTGTTTTGCCTCTTTCCTTTAAACATTGCATTTACTGTCTGCAGAGATTCAGTTCACAGAGGTGGAAAGTAACACATATTTACTCTCATTACTGTACTTCAGTACATTTTTCCTTGTAAAGGTATTTTAGGAGTAAAATTAAATCATAGTATCTCTACATTTACTTCACATCATCAATTTCTAATAAATATTTTATTATACTATACTATTTTCCTTTTCACCTTGTTAAATGTATTCAGTTCTGAAAGCCAATCAAAACACATCAGAGTTCATACATGCAACATTTACTCAAGGAAAAAAGAGGCTAACAATGTTAGCAACACACACAAAGAGCACAATTTATCCAACAATGTATTTTACTGTCAACTTGATCTATTTTCAAATGAACTAAAGGAAATTGTTATCATCAGCCTCATCAGTTTGAGCCTGAAATCCACCACCCTCTCTACAGTCTTGTGTTGGGCAAGCAGCAGGCAGTTGCTGCTGCGCCAGGAGTCCAGCTGCTCGACTTCCTTCCTGGTTCCTTGAAGACACAGTCACTGGTATACAAACTGAAAAGAGAGGTGAGAGCACACAGCCTTGTGCAACTCCAGCACTGAGGGTCCGGGGGTCTGACCTGTGTTTTCTAAGCTGCACCTGCTGTTCTCCTGTTTGTCAGGAAATCCATGATCCACTGACAGATGGGATCTGGCGCAGACAGGTGGGACAGTTTGATCTGCAGGAGCTCTGGCACTGTGGTGTTGAAAGCTGAGCTGAAGTCCACAAACAGAACTCTAGCGTAGGTTCCAGGACTGTTGAGATGCTGTAGCATGAAGCGCAGGGCCATGTTGACCACATCAACAGACCTGTTAGCTCTGTATGTGAACTGCAGGGGATCCAGCAGAGGGTTTGTAACGGCCTTCAGGTTTGCAAGGACCAGGCGTTCAGAGACCTTCATGACTACAGAGGTCAGGGCTACAGTAGATCCCTTCCTCAGACCTTTCAAAATTCTATTTCATCTTCATTGGTGCTCTCAATTCTTATCAGCTCATTTACTGTATTAATTAATCTTGTTTTTCCCCTTTTGATCATTTCAACTCAACATTCTAACTGACCAAGTAGGTCATAACAATTCATTTCACGTTTGCCTTCCAGTGTATGAAGCAGGACTGAAAGAGTCATTGTTTTTCTATCAAAATCATAATATGAAAGAGAGCCATTTTCAATTTGCAAAAGGTTATTACACCCTATAAAATCAACAGTGGGTGTCTTAACAAATAAAACATACATATAACCTAATAACATGAACGCCCTGGTGCAGAGTGCAGTAAAAAAGGATGTGCTGGTCTTCTTGGCCAAATAAATATATTAAAAAAAATAAATACATAAACATGCCTGGTTCTTAATTTATATAAAATATAATTTCTAATGAAGTCAGAATATTAGTAAGAAATATCGCAGTTGGATAATTTACCCAAATTATTCAGTCCTAACATGAAGATTGTGCTTAGTTTACATGTATTGAAAGTAAACTTACAACAGGGATGAATGAAACAATGACATTAAAATACAAAATATAAGCTTTAACTGAGAGTATTTATATTGATATATATTGGAAATTAAAACGTTTTTCATATTCTGCGCATTTCAGAAAACTATAAGTTAATTGGATGAATTAACACAATCTTCAATATAATTATTTAGGACTTTTACACTCAGTGACTGTCTGAAGGGACCCATATATGACACCAAACACAGAGTATCTTCCCTGGTGAAACTCCACAGACCTGAAATGCAGCTGTTTTCACTCCCTGCTTCTTTTGGGTTTTTTGTGTCTGTGTTCTTTTGTTGAATGTCACAGGTTGCACATTGAATTTTTGGCAAAAGTAATTCTTGTATAGTTTGTGGGGTTTAGTGGAGTCAACTTTATAAGGCAGATTTCTTCTCAATATGTTTTGAGTAATCCCAGCTTGAAGGCAGTTTGATAATGGGGTGGATGCCTAGATTGTTTTGCCAGTTGAGGGCTCCTGAAATGACTAAACTACCTAAACTGTACAAAAAAGATAGATTTATAATGTATTTGTAGACAATATATAGATTTGTTTTGTAACTTAGTCACATGGCTGACCTAAAAATTCTTTAAATTTTAAAAAGTAAACATTTAATGATATATCAAATAATAACAGAATGTCACACAGATTATTGTTCTGTTGACTTACTGTTTGATGTTAAATTAAAATTTAAGCCGCTAAAGTTACTTATACAAACCCCAATTTTGGAAACGTTGGGACACTTCATAAAATGCAATAAAACAAACAATGTGTGATTTCTTAATTTTCTTAAATCTTTTTTTTTTAACTGACAAAAGTACAAAGACAAGATTTCCAATATTTTAGAACTTAATTGTATTTTATAAATATGAAGAAATATAGAATTCGATGCCTGAAACACACTCAAAAAAGTTGGGACAGATGCATGTTTACCACTGTGTAATATCACCTTTTCTTTTCATTACAGTTTTTACTGGAACTGAAGATACAAATTTTTGCAGGTTTGCAAGTAGAATTTTTGCCCATTCTTTTTACAAAATACAATGAAGTTGATCAGCCAATATATTAAATCTTACTTTCTATGTACTTCTGTCGGTTTAATGAAGGTTCAAAATAATGAACAAATCACAGATTCTTGTTTTTATTGCATTTTACAAAATGTCCCAATTCCTCTGGAAATGGCATGGAATTTTTTTTTTAGAAAACAACAAATCGACTCAACAGTGCCGGAGATTTTCCTTCAATTGATGGAAGAAGGAACATTTACAGACGACTGTGAAGGCTGAGCGACGTGTCAATCATAATTTTGCAAATGGTCAATTATGTTCTTTGAGCACCTCATATATGTCAGCAGTTGCAGTAGGTTATTACAACACTGGCTGCTGTCTAGCACTTCTGTTTTCGGTACTGTTGTCTTTTGTTCTGGTGTTTTCTGCACGGCTGTTTGTGTTTTTGTCAGTATTATTCTCTGTGTTGTTCTGTTCACTCTGCTGCTGTTCTCTGTCATGATAAACTCTTCCCCACAGCTTCCTACACGCCTCTTTTATCTTTGGGATCCTAAACGCATAAACTATGGGGTTAACTGCTGAATTAGTATGAGACAGGAGGACACCTATTTCAATAGCAACAGAGGGCACCTTCATATTATGACCATATAATCTTACAGTGACCATGAGGAACAGAGGGAGCCAACAGACAACAAAGAGAACCAAGACCAGAACCAGTGAAGCAGCCAGTTTATGTTCTTTCTGGTAGTATTTGTGGGACTTGGAAGCCACACCTATATTTGCTCTTAACTGCCTTCGAGTGGTCAGGAAGATGTAACAGTACAAGCCTGTCATGAGAGCCAACGGAGGAAGGTATAAGCTGAAGAATATGAAGTAAACTAGATATGAATAGGAGATAACTTTAAAGAATCTGCATTCATTACTCTCTGCACCCAAAGGGTTGTGCCATCCAAACATGGGGATAAAACTCAGCAATGCAGCAGTGACCCAGCAGAGTGCAACCACAATCCATAAGCGTTTTTTAGAGACTGTAGATTTATACCTGTGAAGGAAATAAGTAATATCAGTTTCTTTGTTCTGCTTCTTTAAAAAAGATTAAAGGGAGGGCTAATATATCAGTTTTACAACATAATTTCAAAGAAACACCACAGAACACCACATCGCTCGAGTTGTCAGGGTGTAGCACAGTATCAAACTAAAATCTTAAGTTTTATTTTCATATTTTGATATTTGTCTACAGGATGGTTATAGCTCCTTCAGATATAAGAATAAAAAACTACTCACGTCAGAGGGATGCGCACACGGAGAAAACGGTCCACTGCGATAGCCAGGAGAAAGGCGACAGAAGCCACCTCTAGCATTACGATGACACAGCACATGAAAAGGCAGCCATAAAAGGAGCTGTTCATACTGATGTCCACGCGCACAGTTATGGGGATGGCCACAGACCCCACCAGGAAATCAGCCACAGCGAGGGACACAATGAAGCAGAAGGTGGGCTGCCAGAGGGCTCCGCATGTCCACACTGCCCAGATCACCAGCACATTGCCCAGACAACATGCTACAGCAATGATCATCTCAAGAGGCAAGAAGAACCACAAGGCACTGCTACCCATTGGAAGAGAAAGAGATCAGCCAGTACAGATGGTGATGATGGAGTGTAAGAAGTTGATTGTGATTAGACTTCCTTGTGAGCTTGGACAAAAACTGGCTGTGGCTAGACTTCCTGGCTGGCTGGGGCTAGACTTCCTTGAGAGCTCGGACAAAAACTTGCACGTTCATGTATTCTACGTTAATTTGTTACACAATGCAAAACCACACCAGCATTGTGAAACATGCCGCAGTCTATTAAAGACATCTTCTAAATAGTTATTATTGTGGTGTCCTCCCCAAGCCGCACTACTGTGAGGAGCTTAAGAGGTGTAGACATGCAGAGCGACTCTTGGGAGGCGCCACACTCCTGGGTTAAAAAGGTACTGCTACTGCTGTTATTACTGTTGTTGATATTAGTGTAGTTGCGTGGCTTGGATTTATTGGGACCAAGGAGGGTGGGTTAATAGAGTTTGATTACTGTCAAAAAAAATTGTGTGTGCTCATCCACAGCTGTACATTATGGGAGGCATTTCATTTTAGTTGTTGTTCTGGTATTTCAGTCATATCTAAAATGAAAAAGCTAATTGAGAAAAGAAAATCCAAGCTTCCCTTTGGCTTTGGCTTTTCTTCATGAAATGCAGAATACGTGTCAAAACTAAAATCAAAATGCAATATTTACATTCTTATTTCTTTTTCATAGCAATCAGCTGCATATCTGACAAAATTAAAATGAAAATGCAATTGACAGTGTCAGAATGAAAAGGCAAATGCAAACAAACATCGGCGCCACCTGCTGGAGATTTCATTTGCCACTTTGCTTTTTCGTTTTCAAACTGATCAACATGCAAATTATATGTTAATTAGCACTAGGCGGAGCTACGGGGTACATTTTAGGACATCCTCAGACCTCAGAGTCAGAACAGCATCTTTCCTCAAGCTAAACGACTTCGAGTCTCGAGAAAAAACATTGTCATGTCTCAGATCTGGTGAAACTGAACATCTCTGATCCAAACGGCCTCAGAGAAAAGGTATCAGACCAAATGCAAGCCTGGTCGAGCATATATTGGTTCGTATAACTTAGAAAACTATTGTGTATCTTGATATAAATGCCAGTATAACATTTTCACAGTTTTTCTGAGCCTGTTTGGTCTGAAGTAAATTGCTGTTGCAATCTTTGAGGGCAGCAGTGTTATATGGAGCAGGCTAAACGCAGTGGTGTCGTTTGGTTTCTGTTAACCTCTTATGGCTTGTGTCCCTGTCCCGTCATCCACTGCAGGATTCTGCCAACAGTCATTTCTCCATGTTCATCTTGTTCTTACGTAAAAAAAAAATGGAAACACGTTAGTGTGAAAACAGATTTGTTATTTTTACAATAGCTAAAACATATCTATATCTTCAGTTTCCTGTAGGAAGTCCAGGAAAAAAGTTCATGACGTTTATTTCCATGCTGTAGTTCAAGGATCCCATCTGACTGAAGACAGGATGGCACTTCTCCAGAATAAAAGTTGCATCTACCTAAAAATGAAATTAAATATTTGACTCTGTTAGCTCCAGTTCTAAACTAAAGGCCAAACACTAGAAGTCAATAATCCACAAATAGCCCGAACTGTTTCTGTAAAAATATTACTAAAACTTCTCTCAAACTGCATCCACTAGTGGACATGAGTCTATAAAAATGAATAAAACACTGCTACAGACAACCATTTAACATTTTCACAAAGCAGCCACATCTTGGATCAGATTCCTCCATATATGATGGTAACTGTCACTAAAACTGATTCTAGATCAGAACCTTTGCTCCTTAGGTGTTCGAGTTTTAAGGCTTTTCAATGGTAAATCACCACTGATTTTATGATTTTGTCTAGGCTTAATCTATGTCCATGAAACCAGACCTTATAGTTCACCACGTCATACTCTGTCTTAAACCTTGTTAATTTGTGCTAAATTTGGACCCCAAACATGTCTTGGTTCCTGATCAACAGCATCTAGCTTAGGGTAAGTGAAAACCCTTCTTTTAATGCTTTATTTAATGGAAACCCCATAGGAAAAAATTGTTTACCTTGTCATCGTCTCCTGTACAAACAGTGATAGACAAAGATCTGGGTATGTCTTCATGATCTTCGGGAGGTCATAAAGCAGCAGGCCTTTCCTAAGCTGGTCAAAAACTGGTATGACTCTCATAGTTGAGTGAAGTACAACAGCTCTAAAACAAAAGCATGGGGGGAAATACTTTAGTGGACTAATGTTGTCCTTTATTTAAAGTAGCATTTCTTAGACCTGGCCATGGAGTACCTCTGTCCTAATTCATCTGGGCCTGTATTCACTGCACGTCTGAGTGCTGATCTAGGATCGTCTTGTCAGTAAAGTGTTACAAGCTCAGGAACCACTAAAGCTCAAAGGAAATGGCAAATTGTCTAGGGTCTAACTTATGTGTTCTAGTCCTGACTGTAACCAAGGCACACTGTGCCTACGAGTTGCGATTTAGCATGAAACATAAGCCTAAGTAAAAGTGTATGCCTAAATCTAGTTGAAAACTCACCTGCTGCAGAGTCTCTAAATCACCTGGAAAGGGGTTGGGGCCAGCCCAAGCCTTAAGCCTGTGGTCGACCAGCTCAAGCCGTTCCATGATAGCGTTCAGGTTTTACTAGTCAATGGAATGGGTGCTCTGACAAAAATCCAAAATATAGGCAAAAGGAGTCCACAAAAGGGGAACGAGCATAAGAGAGAGAGAGAAAGAGAGAAAGATGCCTGCCGGTCCACCACTCGCCATTCCAACAAAACACTGTTTTCCCGCCGTTGGTCTCCTCCCTTCCGGCTGAGCCTCATCACCATTAATAAAGGCATATATGAGGTTGGCACCCCGTGTGGTTCCAACATGAAAGTCAGTATCTGCACAAGCTCATAACTTTCCTAACATAAGTCATAATTTATAAGAGAGGAATCTGATCCTAAAGCACTCATGCTCTGAGAAGCTTTGTGAATACAGGGCCTGATCTCACTATTCAGCTGCTTAACAAACTCTCTCAAAGTGAGTGTGTTAGAGCACGGAATATACTAAAATGTGCAGGATGGGGTCACTGCGCATTAAGAACTACCAATTTATAAAAAAACAAAAACTTTCAGCTTCAAAGTACCAAGATAACACTGTAATTAAAAGATATTTCAAGTACTGTAACCGCATGTTGCATACTGTCAGTAGTCTGCATGTTTTATAGAACAAATAAACCTAAAAAGTCTAAATCAAGGTTTGTTAAAAGTAGTAGTTAAAATGAAACAGTCTAACCATTTTAGTACTCACTAAGCAACTAAAGTACCTGATCTCATCTTTCTTTTTTACAGACACCCTCTTAGTGAATCCACAGTTTAGAATTTCCTCAGTAAGGTCAATGATGTCATCATGAGTTGCACTATTAATCTGAAAACAGAATGCTGAACTGAACAATTTAAACTTAATTATCAGGAGGGATGACAACCAATTTGTGTTGTCCACCCCCACCTAGAATGGAAAAATCAAAATAATTTATAAATATAACCAACCACAATTTCTATATTTCTTTAGTATCATTTCATTAAAAAGGCACATTTGAAGGCCTTGGATATCAGTTATAGAGAACCCACTTACCTGTAGATTTACCAGCCACCAGATACGTTTGCCAGTTTCAGATGTGTTTTCACAAGCAACTCTGACAACATGAGTGACACAGAAGAGAATTTACACAGTTCAGAAATTACATTACATAGTATTGTATAGTTTAACAGACATACAGTGCAGTTATCAATTACACATGCCACAGGTTCCCAATTCTGGTTCTGGAGTACAGCTCCAACAGATTTACTACATCTCAGGAAGTGAATGTTTATGAGCTTGGCCTTGTTTTCCAAAAGCAACTTAGTTTTATAAATCATCTTAACTAGTGGAGAGTGTTCAGTGTGATGCTCACTAAACCATTTAATAATCATGTTTTTAGAAAAATGCTTTTGGGAAACCCAGCCCTGAGTAGTCCAGGTGTGTTGGGAGCAGGAAACATACTAAAATCCAGGACTGGGGACCTGTGACCTGCACTAATGGAGAACATAAAGTAACATAAGGCAGCAAACTGGCCTGTGACCTGCACTAATGGAGAACATAAAGTAACATTAGGCAGCAAACTGGCCCGTCTCACACCTACCCTTTTCTTGTTGTACTGACTGTCCATGGCGACTGGACGGGCCCCTTTCTGTCTGTTGTCCCTGTCCACCGCCAGGATCGACTCTACCCTGTCTGGCTGGCCTGACATCTCCTGCTGAGCTTAAACGGTTGGTTAGCGTCGACACAAGTTGGCTCTACCTGCAGAGAGAAAGTCTCACATTCAGTGTTTGCCTACCTAATAACTGAAATGGCTCTATTATTATCTATGTAATGCCAACTTTTAAAGTTATATTGTCATTCATCTCAACCTTTTGCACATTATTAAATCTAAACTATATATAAACTTGATTAACAATGCAAACTTACTCATATCAGCAGTGCGGCGACTCTGCAAATGGTCCTGATCGGAAGTATGAGACCTGGCATTATTGTCCTTTTTGGATCTCTGTGATGTGCGACATAAATGATTATGAGGTTGATAATCGATCTGAGACTTACCACAATTCAAAGTGTTAATACTAATAATTCATATAATATTATGCCACTAATATAGTATAATAAATATTACTGGGATAAAATAGAACATTAAAATGACAAAAATTATCCTTTACCTTTTTGAAGATGTTGAATTTTGGCATCTTGAAATGGAAGAATATGCTGTTGCACTTCTTCAAGGTCATGTTCATGTTCTTTATCCCCTCTGTTTCAGGCACTGCAGTTGATGAAGATGCTGCCGCCAGAGTTGCCAAGCTGGCGTGATCCTTTCTGTCAGAATTAAGCAAGCCTCTTGACAGGGATTCTGTCAACAGCTGACTCTGAGCTTTTACAGCTTGAATCAGCTTACTTTCAGAGCCAATTCTCAGAAGAAGCTCTGCGTGCACAGCATCAATGATGGTGTGGTGAAGCTCTTTAAGAGCATGTTCTCCATCTGCTACTGTGACCGCAGTGAATGGGGCCAGAATTTCCTTGACAGCCTGAGTAACACTCTGGACCTGCTCATCAGCAATTAAGAGAGAAGATCCATGGACCCCAGTGGATGACATCTCCTGGACTTTGTGTAGTATTGCATGTATGCAACAATGGAGAGCAGCCACAGAGATAGTTGGAGGAGATGTACTAAGTTTTTCAGAGCTGCGTGAGTCACTTTCAGGTGTTTCTTCAGCATTTAAAACCACAGCAACCAACACATGAGCTGACACACTGTCCATTATGTTGTTCACCATCTCTTTGGAAAACAGATCTATCGTGTCAGTAAACACCTTAGATGGGGGGTCTTGCGATCTCAAAACTCTCAGGAGTGACTGTGAAGGGCATCACCAGATTTGGAATATCTTTAGCTGAGGCAGAAGCTGGAGAAGAGGGGCAATGCAGGACATGAGAAAACGTTTTATTGACTCGTTGGCAAATTCACCAAGAAATTCAGAAGTAAAGTACTGCTGTAGGTCAGTGTGGCTCTGCAGTCGTCTTGCGCCAAGAACAGACTCTGAAATGTTCAGGGAGGTCAATCTGTACTTCAGTATGATCTCCACCATTTCGGCGAACTCCTGGGTGGCTGTGGTCAAAAACATGTCATCAACTCTTTTGGCCGCTGCAGATAACTCCTCAAGAGAGATATAATGACCTGAGCCCTGTAAACCCAGGGAGGTCATCATGGTGTCGACTAAAGTGGCCATCGAAACCATCTCTCTGCTCTTGGGTCAATCTTGTTCACCTGTAATCCTCACTGAAGGTCTTTGTGATTCCTCACTTTTACCCTTAGGTGACTCAGAAGGAGTAGGGGTCCCAGGAAGTGAAACAATGTGCTCAGGTGACATGGCAGGAGAAGATCTTGCTGGATGTTTGTCCATTACTGTACTGTCCAACGTGGGCCTAATTAGATGAAATGTCGGCTGTGATTCCTCTGAACTGTGATGGCCTTTTGATGAGGCTAGTGGGTCTGTAATCGCCTGAAGTACGTTGTCAATGGTTTCCCCCACATCGATGTCTGAAGGGTCAACTTTAGCTGCTTTCTGCAGATACGCTGCAGAAAAATCCTCAAGCTCGCTCATCGCACTGCTGTAAATACTGTACACAGTGGACCACAGATTCTCCTCAAAGACATCAGAACCTAATTCCATCCCATCCAAAAGGTTCAGCTTGTGTCTCTTTCAAACCACTGGGTGACGCGCTGGAATGCAAACATTTGCAAATTCCTTCAATGACAGAATCGACGATTGCAGATGCCTTTGCTGAGCATTCAGATGGACTTGATTCAGCGCTGGAATCTGTCTGCTTGGTGTGAGCACTCAGTGAATGGAGAGAACTTACAAGGAAGCTCTCTGAAGACTTCAGTAAGATTTCACTCACTTTCTGAGCTGCCTTGGTTCGAGAGTTCTCACTCTGGATTTTCTCAAAGCTCTTAGCAGTAGAGCTTTGAAGAAAAGACGATACCTGAAAATCCAGAGGAACGGCAGGAATGCTGTCTCCAAAAGGTGAAGTTGAGACCTCTTGAATGTAAGCCATTATGTGGTCTACAAGCAACTCAGCTGTGTGAGATAAATCAGGGGAACCTTGTCTAAATACTGCCTGATCATCCTCAGATACCTTTTCTGTCACATTGCTAAGAAGCTTGAGAACGAGAATCCTCCTTTTCAAGGCCACCGATGGCCTTTATGGTGGCATTCACAACATCTTTGGTGATCGAAGAATGGCATGAGGATCCTGGTCTTGCAAGGAAAAGCAACTAAGGATCCACGTTCAAAACTTCTCCAAGCTTTGGAACAATGATTGTGTGATATGGTGGTCACAATCTTCACAATGTTCATGATCATTTCAGTAATTTTGTCCCTTGTGAACTGCAAGCAGAAATCATAATGACAGCTCTTAGTCATCACTAGTATTGTTTTCCAGGGGTCATGTACTTTGATTTTAACTATTACATTAAATGGTTTCGAATAAAAACCATGCACTATTTGACGCATTCCATCCTGTATCACCTGAAATTGCCTGAAAGATTTGAAAAAAAATGCAGAAAAGCAATTTTAGTTTAGTTTATTTTAATTCATCAATAATGAATCCTGCATATTGAACCACCCCTTTCTAAGAGAAACGTCATGTCTGTTAGCTCTTTTATGGCTACCAGCTTCTACAGAATAAGGCACAGCCAATCAGGATTAAGCATTGTCACCACAATATAAATAATAATAAGAAGCCGAATTTAAACCGTATAGAGAACATTTGGTCTCACATTAAACACAAACTAGCTTTGCAATGTTTTTCAGCTGTTTGAAGCCATCAATGCTGAGTGGATCAATACTGACTCTTCTTTCTGCAAAAGACTGTCTGCAAATTTACACACAAAACGTCAACATTTAAAGAAATCAATCAGAGTGGCTCTAGAGAAAATTAATCAGTCAAAACTGTTCAGAGCGTTGGTGACAGTAACCAGACCTCTGAAGAGTATAATGCCTCTAAAAGCCCTTTACAGTCTTAAAGTATTACATGAAGTGCTGATAAATATGTTGCTGCTGAACTACTGTTTAAAACTTCGGTATCTCTGGTCATATAATAACAGTGTTGACTGAAATATTATAAACTAGACACCAAAACATAAACCAAAGGTTTGTTCAGAAGCAAAAGTACTATGAGAACAAAAAGAAATTATGACATGGCAAAAATACTTCGTTATTAAATAATAAACACAATTAATTATATTAATTTCTGAAAATAAATTACTAAGTAGCTACTTGATCATTATGTTTCAAATATGAGGCATTCTGGACATTCTGGAAGTTCATTCTCAATGCCACACAGCTTTCCCTGTTTTAATATAATCGTCTGCAGCTCTTTTCATCATAGAACATTTCTTAATTTGTACAGCTTCCTATGTTTTTTGCAAAAAAATAAAAAAATACAAACTAGTTTTATATTGTTCAAAACAGTGATTCCAAAAGTACCAGAAGAAAACTTTTTTCAGATTTATCACTTTTGTACCATCATCAACACTACATATAAAGCTCAGCAGACGTGTATATATATTGATGGTTTTAGAATGACATAGATGTGATGTTCAGGCATCCACATACTTTTGGCCACGTGGTATATTTGTATCAGACCAGGGCTGGTCACAATGTAGATATACTATGATGGTCTCTAAAGGGAGGAGTAGAGGCAAATTGTGCAGTAACGCCATGTCTATAATTATAAACCTGCAAAGTGCATCAGGGTAGGTGGTCCTAATAAACTTTCAACTTACCAAAAGTAAACAAATAATGGCAGAAAGATGTGCATTTCTATGTTCAGTGATCAATATTAACAATTGTTAACTGTTGCAGAGTTCATTTGAAAAATAAACTGTGGTAGTAGGTAGACGTCCGCAGTATGTGGCAGTCATGTTGGTGGTCCTGCTAACTAAAATTCTGTGGCGATTCTACACAAAGCAATAGAAAAACCATAGAATGGAAAACAAAGTCAGTAAAAAGGGCTACTTATACATAAACACAGTTTAGAAAACACAAAATCTAGTGCCACAGATAAAATTCAATACAACTGCAGTACTAAAACGTTTTTAATACTGTACTAATATTTTTGTTGCATTTGTTTTGAAACTGTACTATTACAGCAGTATTAATACTGTATACTGTACTACTGTTTTAATACTCCAGCAGTACTGCATATTTATTATTATAGGAGCAACACCTCAAACACATTCAAACATAATGATATCTAAACTCACATTAGTAAGTTTTACATCATTTTAGCACAATTTGTTGAGATTGAGTGGTTTGGTGTGAAATGGTTGATTGTAGAGACTCATTTCTTTACGGTGGTGGTGGTGACAGGAACCAGGGATTATCATGTCTACACAAATTTTATTTACTACCCAAAACCACCAGTGAACCTACATGTGAACAGGAAGCAACGATTGTGTCTGTTTAAGTCTACATTGAAAATGAGCACATAAAGATGCATCAAACAGAATGATCAACGTTAGCTCTATTTCCAAAGTAATTTCTTCTTCAAAGTTTTGGAAAATAACTCAGTTTAATGTAGACAACAACAACCGAGTTTAAGCTTTACAAGGATGTAAGACTAGGATACATTTAGGCTAACAGCTCTTTTGTTTTTCTAACGTTCTGGGGGAATATTTGGGCTCTGCGCTCAAACTTGGCGTCTCCTCTGTCGAAGCTCTAAAAACCAGATATCTGCTAATCTGGGCCCTGAATTGTGTAATCACTGGTACTGAACCGAACTGCCATCGACTGACTGGTCACCCAGTGATTAGCTACAAAAATAGGACATGTAGCGTTAGTGACTCGATTTGAAACCCTCTCCTCTAAACACTATTAGCTCCTCTCTGTACTGCAGAAATCGGACGGCAGCGCTCGCGCTTAACGGCGCTGGGGTGGTTGCTAAGCGACAACTGCAGTGCCTCAGCAGACAAGCCAGCTAACTTTAGCCTAGCCAACTAGCTACCTAACGCCAACGCTAGTGATTTTACTCTCAGACTGACCCGGACATACAGCTGAATTAGCTGAGTATGTGTGCAGAGCTCAGCTCAAACTAACTGGTTAAGGTACTCTTTACTCCTCACCTTTTAAATGCAGGGTTTTAAGGTACCCGTGTGGCAGCCCTCACTCCACTTGCGGAGTCTTCGGTCTTCAGAGCTGAAACATCCGATGTCGGCAAATACACAACACCCTAATCTCAGAAAATAATGTAAGCCAGACGTTTTCGTATAAACACGATTAATAAACTGTTCAAACAGTGAACGTACTGAGTGTTAAACAGCTCCTAACGGTCGCGTTTGGATTTAAACAGTCAAATCGAACGCTCGAGGAAAGCGCGCGCTGCAGAACCGGCCCTCTAGGGGCGGAGCCAGACTGCTCAGCTCCTCCTCTGCCGTGTTTTAATTGGTCACAAACTCTGCCAGTCATTTGTATTTTCTTTCTTGCTTTTTGAACCTCAGCACAAAACTGCATATTAACCTAAAGCTCTTAAAACACAGTTTAAGGTATTTTGTGTATTAAATTAATATAAACATTAATAATGTAGCGTCCCACTACCAGCTCCATCAGCCGTGGTCGCGTGGGAGGCGTGGCTATGCGAAGCGGCGAGTGGGGAGCGACCGAGAGACTGAAACCATGTAAATAGGTGGGACTGATGGCTTGGAGGTGTGTAAATGTGTTGTTCTGTTGTGCTATTCTCACCTGGGCTGGTTAGTCGGGTAGAAGTGCAATAGTGCCCTCCGTCATGTAGGCATGTGTGGCTGTTGGTGACCAGCCTGCTATCCCCGCCGTTTAGAAGAGAGTGAAAAGTGAATCTATAAAACGGACTTTAGTTAGTGAATTGGTTCATAAGGGAGCTGGAACGTGAACGTCCACCACTTAAAGAGGAGCTCTGGCAGAACAAATTTCACCGTTCAAGCTTGCAAAATATGTAGCCTCTTTAACTCGATATTACAGCTCAGTCTCCTCTACTGTATGTATGTGTTCACGGTGAATGAAAGACTTTTTAAAAGTGGTCCGATGTCGCCACCTGGCGGTCATTCAGTGTAACAGCTGCTCAAAAACAGCACAACGACACATAAATGGCAGAGCGAGGATCACACTGAACGCTCTCTCTACCAGTTAACCCTTGTGTGGTGCTGCGGTCTGTGGAAAAAGAAAAAAAAATGATCTGATTCATTATAATTTCAACCCCAGATTCTTCAGGTGCTCATTTTCTGTGAAGAACATTCAGCGATCAGGCATAACATTGTGACCACCTCCTTGTTTCTACGCTCATTGTCCATTTGATCAGCTCCACTTACTATATAGGTGCACTTTATAGTTCTACAATTACAGACTGTAGTCCATCTGTTTCTCTGCATACTTTGTTAGCCCCCTTTTACCCTGTTCTTCAGTGGTCAGGACCCCCACAGAGCAGGTACTATTTGGGTGGTGGATCATTCTCAGCACTGCAGTAACACTGACGTGCTGGTGGTGTGTTAGTGTGTGTTGTGCTGGTACAAGTGGATCAGACACAGCAGTGCTGCTGGAGTTTTAAACACTGTCCACTCACAGTCCACTCTGTTAGACGCACCTGCGTTGTTGGTCCACCCTGTAGATGGAAAGCCAGACA